TGTCTACTCAAGGGAATTCTCGAGCAGATCAGTGGGTGAGGAGCTACACACTACAATTATCTACAGATGGGACAACTTGGACAGACTACAAAGAAGGTGGACTGGTCAAGGTATAAAATATGTTCTGTATTAAAATATTTTTACTCAAAGATCTGACATTAAGGCTGCATTTCCTATGGACATCATACAAATGTGAAGGGACTGACCTGAAGGGAGGTGAAAAGTTGACCTTTCTGCAGAAAACCCTGTACCGAGCTTAAATAAGTGATACAAATAATCAAACGGATGCCAACAAACAGAAATTGCTAGAGAAACAAGACCACGTACAATTGTTTCATCTCTGGGAAGGTGAGATTAATTAGAAGATCGATAGACGGGTTATTTCCACGTTGTTTTTGGTAGGTAAATAACATGTGTCACAGAAGAAAAGTGTATGAATACTCAGAAGATGAGTAAACAAGCATTTGCAGTATATAAAGATTATGTTGAGTAACATCATAGGCATTGTAAAGGAACACCTTGCATGTCACTAGAAAAATTTAAACAATCCTCTGTTTAGTCAATCGAAAGTACTCTCTCCATTATTTTAGAGCTGTGATAACATTTCCTCCCTTTTGCCATTGCTTTGTGTTGAGGGAGTGTTCGTAGGTATATTCATCGAGCCTTCTGAGACAGCACCTTTAAATTACTGACAGAGATATTGCTGCCATCCACCACCTTACCACCTCTACCACCCAGTCGTTTAGATCTTACCTCGCAAACAGGTCACACATGACATCCGTCTAAGATGCTCAGTCCGCTGCTATACTAATTAAAAGTGCCTGGTGGGAAAAACCTCAGGCAGTATCCTGAAACCACTACCCTTTATTACCTCGCAAGCAGGTCACACATGACATCCGTCTAAGATGCTCAGTCCGCTGCTATACTAATTAAAAGTGCCTGGTGGGGGTAACCTCAGGCAGTATCCTGAAACCACTACCCTTTTTTTACCTCGCAAACAGGTCACACATGACATCCGTCTAAGATGCTCAGTCTGCTGCTATACTAATTAAAAGTGCCTCTTGGGGTAACCTCAGGCAGTATCCTGAAACCACTACCCTTTTTTACCTCGCAAACAGGTCACACATGACATCCGTTTAAGATGCTCAGTCTGCTGCTATACTAATTAAAAGTACCCAGTGGGAGTAACCTCAGGCAGTATCCTGAAACCACTACCCTTTTATACCTCGCAAACAGGTCACACATGACATCCGTTTAAGATGCTCAGTCTGCTGCTATACTAATTAAAAGTACCCAGTGGGGTGACCTCAGGCAATATCCTGAGACCACTACCCTTTTTTATTCATGCAAGTGATCTATCAGGCTGTCGACCACCAAGTGATATTTTTTTATTGACGATACTGTGATTAAACTTATCCTAAAACCTTATTGACCTTTAATATCACATCAATGATGATTTGGAAACAGCGTCAGGATGCTTCTCCAGAAATGTCTTAACATATCGTATTGTTAATTTTGTCGTCTTTGAAAGTACACGATAAATAAAAAGTACTTGTGTAGCACATAACCAGTCTGTCGTGGGCAGATCATGTCAAGGCTACCAGCATGATAATAAATAAAAGGATAGGCCTCATCATGAGAAAGAGAAAACTGCTGCCATTACAAGTCAGAGTAGCCTTACACAATAACTTTTACTCCCTTAATTGCTACTTAACAAATGGTAAACACCACAGCGTACACTATTGAGTTATGGATGCACGCGGGAGGTTGCTAAGCACGAAAGAAGCGTAAGAGTCGCTCGAGGTGATAGCCGAGAGTGACTCTAGCTTCTTGAGTGCTTAGCAAACCTCCCAAGTGCATCCATAACTCAATAGTGTACGCTGTGGTGTTTACCATTTGTTAA